GAACATGATTATTTGCTTACTAAGAGAATGAAAGTAGATGCACATTTATTTATAGAATATATCATCAGATAATACTACAGATCAAATAGTTTAGATGGTTGTAACTGGGATCAAGAATCAAGTCCGGCACATACAGGGCACTAGATTATAAGGTCTGTGAGGTTGTTTTATTTTCACCATTGTATGACCAGCACTTAGTTGAGTGCTAGGACATAGCAGGTGGTAAGTAAATTCTTCTTCATTGAATGGTGAAATAAATGTGAAAGTTGTATGCTTATGATGGATATACTAACCCTTTTGTTTTCTGTTACCATTGCTTTTTGGAAGTTAAAACAAAAAATACACAAATTTATGTATCTGGTGCCTTTGGCAATTCACTATTTTTTTCAGTAACTCAACTTTGAATTTCAAACCAGAACATTTTAAAGCCTTTACTCTTCAGAGTTTAGTTATATCTAAGCATATCTTAATATTTATGAAGTCATTTTCTTTAAGGCTGTTTTTACTCAATATTTTATTTAAAAAAGTAACAGCTAGATTTTATTAGACATAAAATACTTTGTGACTATTAATGACAAAACCAAATGAAGGATTCTTCTGAAACTTTAAGGTTAAATTATCAAAGATAATAAGTGACTTACTTATTTTACTTATTTTCTGTTAAAACTAGTAGTCCCCTATCATTCATTTTTAGAATCAATCTTTTCTCAAACCCAGATGATAAAGGCAACACAGGAGAAATCTCACCAAATAGTTGATAAGTTTTCTAGATTGATTTGTTCTTGTATTTAAAAATGTTGTTAAGTTCTCATATCCTCCCAACATTTTTAACAGCATTATGAAATTATCAGGGAACTCATCACCAAATCCAAGGGCCTTTTGTGCATCATTTGATACTACTAACTATTGCTTTCTTCTGTGCAAGTTTCTTAGATATTGAGGAAGTAGGCAATTCCTTGAAGAGGCAATGGGACCTAGTGATAGATTGGCCATGGATTAAGGAGAGTGGAGAAACCTTATTTTTTTTAAAGCAAGTTTCCATATACTTTCTTTTTAGCCCTTATTTATATAAATCTTTCAAAGTTGTATTTATTTATTAATATCAATCTTAATCTGATCCTAAAGCTGTTAGGCTTAAAATGACTTTGTTCAATGATAGAATAAGAGGTTTGATGTATGGAGGTGAACAACATTCTATAGACCACAGGAATTAATTTACCTTATTGCTCTGGAAGACTGAGTTAGCATGGTATAATGGCAAACATCCTCTATTTAAAGGCTTGGAGTGGAGTACAGGCTTCCTATTTACTTGCTTTTTGACCCTGAGTAAGTCACTTAATTTCTCTGAGTCTCATCTTCCTGCAGTTTAAAAATATCACTAACTCTAAATAAAGAACTGACAGACAAGAAAATGATAAAAACAATCAAATAGAATATGTTTAGTTACATAGACTCAAATGAATAAAAAATCACCTTTACTATGGAACTAAACCAACCACCATGAGGAATTCCAGCAATAATTTAGTAGTTGAATGCATGGCATTATTTTGGAAGCTAAAAAATAAAAAAAAAAGTCTTATAGTCCTACTTTTAGAAGTTTATAATCAAATTCATATGAGAGAATTAAACTGTAATCTTATTCTGGAAAGAACTTGTCCCAAGTATAACTCATTTGGTAAGCATTACCTTACCTGAAATAATTGTTCAAATGTGGACTACAAAATGATATTGGAAAATTGGGCATCTCCGAGATTAGGCATGGAAAAGATAATATACTTCACAAGAGGAAATCCAAATGGCTAGCTGATAAATGAAAAGGTTCTCAGCAGTATCAATAAGGGAAATACAAGTTAAAACCACAATGATACTACTACACACCCACCAGACTGCAAAACTGAGGGACAGCCAACACTGAGTGTGGTTGAGGGTGTGACCAATGGGACTCAGACACAGCTGGTGTATAACACTTAGGCAACAGCTTGGCATTATTTATTCAACTTTGTAATACACGTAACCACTCCAGGTATATACCATACAGAAACTGGTATGGATGTGATGGCATATATATATATGAAGAATGTTCACAGTAGTGTGGAGAACAGTACCAAACTGGAAACAATCCAGATGTCCATCAACAATAGAATGGCTAAATAAATTACAGTATATTGCTACAATGAACAGTGTAATATGCAGCAAGTAAAAGGAACAAATTACATCTATATGAACAAACTGGACAATATATGAATTAGAAATGATGCTGAACAAAAGCACAAAAGATTACATATTATGTTGTTCCATTTAGTAAAGTTCAAAAGACAGGGAAAAACTAAAGAATATATTGTTTAGGGATGCATGCTTGCAATAAAACAATAGAGAAAAGCAAGGAAATGATTATCATAAAAGTTAAAATAATGGTTATCTCTAAAAGGAGGGAAAGAGTTATGCTCAGGAAGGTCACTAGGGGAGCTTTTGAGGTGCTGGCAATGTTCCATTTCTTGACCTGGTTGATCACATGGAAGTTTTAAAATAATTACTTTTTATAATGCATACTGCTTTACACGTTAAGTGTTATTTCATAATAAAAATGCTACAAGTAACTAAATACTGTGGATGTAACTTCTAGAATACTGTGGATGTAACTTCTAAAAAGAAATTTTACCAGATAATTTATGAAATCTTTGACAGAAAAACCATTGAATGTGGGATAATAAAACAGGGATTAGTTTTTGTAAGAGCTCACTTTTAAGTTAAGAAGAACCCTATCCAAATATCCCTTTGTTACAGTGTAACAGTATTTTTTTTTTTTTTACTCTCTTTACCACAAATTGATGAACCAGGGAAATAACTGTTGCCTAAAACTTCCTATTTTTTGGCATATCAAATGAATTGTTTTTGTCCTCTGGATTAATAAGAAATAAAAGAACGAAAGAGATGCAGACCAAATTGGAAATGTATGAACTTCCTCCTCTCCAGTCACCATTTCCAGCTGTCTCCTCCAGTAAAATCATGATGAGTGGTGAGGCAGGTGGATCTTGCCCAGGAAGCTGAGTGCAGCTGTTCCTTCTTAAGTAGGTGGCTGAGAGCTCTCCTGAGTGCCATTGTCTCTTAGCACTCAGGTTCTAAGGCAGAGCCACTGACAATGAAAACAGGTCAGGCTGCTGAAAAACTCCAGGCAGTACACACTTTTCTGGAGGTGTCCTCTCTGGTTTGCAAAACTCATTTTGTACTCTTTTTATCCAAAGCCCACAGAATTGAAAATCTGAGGTGCTCAGCTTCACAAAAATCCCTTAACTCTGTGCACTGTACTCCTTCAATTTCCACCAGGAAATATGCAAGAGGGACAAAATCCAAAAAAGATTTCTTCTGTAGCCATGTGGGGCCGTCACTTGGTGGCCTGATTCCCTGTGAATCTTATTTGGAAGGACATGGCAGGAGATTTGTTATGAAAAGACAGTCAATCTAGGGTAGCTTAAAAAGGAGTTAACCTGGCTCTTGAACTTCGGATGAAAGGCAGTTATTTGGGCAGGTGCTACTTTGTAAGTCTCTTCAATACCCACCTCCCATCACTTTTTTTGCAGCATTTTAATAAAAATGAGCCCTTGGATTTACCCAGTCATAAGTTTCCTTGGTTTACTGTTCGCATATGGCCATGGCAGTGGTGGCAGAAACCCTGAGCTTCTCAAATCTGCCTATAAAAACTTGCCCTTTATCCCCTCAGGTGGAAAGACTTGTAAAATCCATGACTGCATTTCCATAGGCGGTAGAAAATGCCAGGGTCCAGCGACAGAAATGTAGAATCTGCTTTCTTTCATCATTCCTACTGTTTTTATCTCATTCTCCCACTATTCACCAGGGCTGGTTCAGGACAGATTTCTGAGGATTCTGGTCCTTTCATCTTAACATTTCTTTTTCTAGAGAATTACACTTTCAACTACATGAGTTTTTACTTTAATTTACTTAACAGATAATATTTGTAGGAAAAGTTGCATAATAGTAACAACATTTATTTTAGAAAGGAAATAGGCTTTGAGTCAGACCTGAAACACAGGCCAAAATTTCTTGATGACGGTAATGGACACTGATTCACAATCAAGCCCAGCTCTCCAAAGCTTCAAACCACAAGCAAGAATGATTTATCTTAAAAGTGAGGCACTACTAAATTCTCTCCTTGAAAGACAAAGGCCTTCACAATCTTCGGGGGTATGGCTCCCCTCCCTCGCCCCGGCAATTCGCCTTCTTTTTCACTAAACTCAGGTAGTGACTCCGTACTCAAGACACACCCCTATTTCCTTTCATGGGGTGGGGGGCGCGGAGAGGAAGGGATGTATTATAACTCTCAACTTTACAATGCTATGCAGTTCACAAAGCCCTTGCACTTCCATCAACTCCCCTGAACTCCGCGAGTGCCACGTGAGAGAGGCATTCAATGATTCATCAAACTTTTGCCCGGCCCAACCACACGTTATCAGGCGCTGGGGCTCGCCACACACCAGGGAAGGGTGGGACGCTCGCTCCCGGGAGCAGGTGCAGAGGATCAAGCTGCAGGACAATTTCACGTTCAGTCCAGCTTTCCGAAGGCCCGTTTAGGGTCAAATGCCTCACCTTCGGGTGGTGCGCGCCCGAGCACGGCCGCGCGGCCTGGGCCTCCTCCTTGCTCTCAAAGGAGCAGTCGCCACCTGCTCAGAAGGAAACCGCTACCGAGCAAGCTCTCTCCGCCGCCCTCGGGTCGGGGGTAAGATCAGGCGGCAGCCTAGGCTCCAGTCGGCTCCTCCCCTTCCTCTCTTCAGTTCTGACGCGGCCGTAGAGGCGGCGGCAGCGGCGGCGAGTCCCGCGGCCCGAGGCGCACCCACCCGCTTGCCGAGCCCCGACTTCCTCTTCCCTTCGAGCGTCATCAGAGCGCGACTGAGTCGCCCAGGGCGGGGTGGTTAGAAAGGGGAAAAAGGCCAGCAGAGGAAGCCTCCGAGCGGAAAGAAAAGGGAGGGGGGGAGGAGAGCGGTTGCTAGGTGATGCGTCATCGGGCTGCGCCGCTTTCCTCCCGCCCCTCTCTCGGAGTGAGGCGAGAGCCCCGCACTGAGCGAGCGAGACAGCGAGCTGAGCTCCGCGCGCTATCGCCGCCGCCGCCGAGAGCGTGAGAGCGAAGGAGCATCCAAGAGACCCAGCCCCCGTGCACTGGCCGCCGCCGAGACCTCCGTCCTACCCTGGGCCAGCGGGAAGACGGGACCACCCCTCCTTTCCCCCCCTCACCTTCCCGGCCGGCAGCGGCGGCTGCACACACCGGAGCCAGAGCGCGAGCCCAAGCCGGGGCGGCTGGGGGCAGGGAGGCGGCCACCTCCGGCCGGGACTGGTCAGCCGCTCCGCGGTGAGAGGACGCTTAGGACGGGCCGCAGCTTGTGTCTCGTTCCGGGGCGCGGGGCAAGGGGCCCCCAGCTGCAGGGAGGGGGTCTCAGCCGCAGCCACACATGCGGGAGCCGGGAGCGGGGGCGGCGCCGAGCGGAGCCGGCCGGGTCCCCGACCTTGCCGTTGCTTCGGCCGCCCTCCCGAGGCCGTAGCATCCTGCCCCGGAGTGTATGAACCGGGGCCCCAAGCTCAACAACTATCCCCCGGCCGGGGGGGCGGGGACCCCGATGTGAGGCGGCAGACCGGGCGGCGGGGAGAGCAGGACCGGCGCCGCCGTTCTTTCCTTACCTTCCCCTCCCCTCACCCCCTCGGGGGTCTCCTCCCTCGGCCAGTCGCCGGCCCCCCGGCTCCTCGGCAGGACTCCGGGAGGAGTTCTTAGAGCCCCCTCCCCCGCCCCAGCCCCGAGGGCGGCGGGGCCGGGGGGGACCCGGGGGGCCGGCTGCAGCCTCCGCCCACAGAAAACTTTGTAAGACCAAAACCCGAAGGCTCCCAAACGTGACTGTCCCGAGAGAAGTGGCCCAGGACGGGCAGAAGACAGCCTGAAGAGACCCAGGAAGAGGAAAAGAGGAGGTAAGCGGGGCCGCCGCCGCCTCCTCTGCTCCGGCAGCGCGGAAGGGACCCGGGTGGCCGCCTGGTTGAGCTGCACGAGCACGGCGTCTTCCTCAGTACCGCGCCGGAGCCTTCCGCAGCGGCCGCCTCAGCCTGAAGGAGGAAGGGAACCAACCCACTTTCTCTGCGCCACGATTCTTCTCTAAAGTGTGAGTGGCTCTGGGAAAGGGAATTGGGGGGTAGAAAGTGGGAGGATGCCCGTGCGTCCTCCTGGAGTTTTGCTGATGCCTTACAGGAGTGTTAGGAGTGCACAGTATATAAGATCAGAGGGTGTATCTTTATTTCACAGCAGGGAGGAGGTAGTGCTTTGAGCTCTTTTGATGGGTCGTACGCAAGCTTACAGGTTTCTCTTGGAGGAGTTCTTTCTCCAGAGTGGACACTTGCACCTTTCTGGCCAGTAATTGTCAAAAGGAAATTGGGGAAGCCTGAGCATATGTGCACCCAAAGAACATCTGTATAATAAACCTTTTCCTCTTACACCGGTTGTGAAGCAGCTCCGTAGTTTTTGTTTCTGGGTAACTCTAACTTGGGCTCCCAAGTGGGAACCTCTTACCCTACGAACCCCTGAAAGTAAAATTCCTTTCTTTTTTTTTTGCAGTCTTGTTTGGGAGATTTTCATTGCATTCAGTACTTACTGGTACGTGAGTTTTTTACCTTCTCATTTCCTGGGTCCAATTCAAGTGTGTCAGGAGGACACTGTAACAGATTTAATTACTCAGGAAATTCTGAGTTCTTATGAATCAACTTAGAGGAGAGCATTTAGTACTTTAACCCGTTTATAAAAGTTTTTAAATGTTTTTCCTTACCTAAATGCTTTTTTTTTTCTTTCTTTTTTTGAATAGCATATGTCCTCTTGCTAGCACTCTTTATTTGGCAGAATAACTTGAGGGTTTGCTTCTTTGGATTATCTTTACTTCTCTATCAAATAAGGAGAAGTTTTTGATATTTAATTCTTCGAAGAATGATATTTTTTCTTTCCATTATTTTAAATATGAAGCCTGTAAAAGCTTTCTTTTGTATTTGGGTATCCTTTCAGAGTGCCAAATTAAGTTGCAGGAAAGTATTTAACATTTCATATATTTAGACAGACCTTAAAGTGTTGACATAAGGTAGAATTTTATTTAACAGGATGTAGGCAGTATCATCCTGAGAATTATGGTCTCTCCAGACAACTGTGTGTGTTCACTTTCTCTGAAGCCACTGCTAAAAGAAGCTTTGTGGTATTGAATGTAAGCTAGGGGTTAACTACGTTAACTTCTTCATTCAGGATCTTGACTAATTTCATTCAAAACTTTCTCAGGCAATGTTTTCATTCTGTACTTTCTCACTTTTGAAGTAATGAGTCCTACAAGTTTCTTATCTCCTGAACTATGTAACCATTTATTTATCCCAAGCCTGTCTCTTTAAAGTAGCCAGAGTTTGTGTTTTGAGATATGCTAGAACAAGCTGGAGTTATCTTTTCCTGGTTTTATAGATTTTGATTGTTTTATCATCTTTCCCGACTCTTGTCTGTATTAGAATAATTTCTTCAGTCCCTTTGATAACTGTGCCTTCTGGTACTTCCCCAGCTGTTTTGTTTTTCTTTGTATGCCTTGTTATGCTATTGTAAGGAACCTTAAATTCTATCTATTTTAAATGGGTACTGACATGAAAATATAGAGTAGTGGATATAATGTTAGACATGGAGTCAAAAATAAGTGTGTCTCGATAGTCATGTATATCCCATGTTTCACAAGATTGGAGGAAGAGAATTCTACTTTTGCATAGGTTGTTTTTGGGGGAGGAGGAGAAGATAAGCCAACGTACAATGGCTTGAGTATACATTGTACTCCATCAGAGTTGCTTACTAACTTTTAAGACTTACTTTTTATTGCATTGACTATGGATAGGTTAAAAATATTGGTAATGTTTTATTGCATATTTGAGTAATAAAGAAACAATAAAATATTTGGGTTCCCTGCCTTTGAGATACTTTTACTTAAGGGTAGCAGAAGCAATTGAACAGAAATTACACAAAATTGTAGGAAAGAGAGAATGGTTTGACCGCTATATGTCAGATACTGTGTTTAGTACCTTATAGATGTAATGTATTTGTACATTCTTCATTATGGAGATCTTGGTGTTGGACAATACAGAATTAATTGGATTGTCTGAGCCAAATCTGGGAAGGTCTCTTTTAGGAAGAAAAGAGCAAGTGTGTATAAAATGTTTAAGACTTTTGGAATTGGAGGATGTGAGGGACCTATGTAATTAGAAGTTACCTTGATAGGACTATAGAGGGAGGTTGTTGAGAAGTTTTAGGGTCAGTTTATGTTTGTATCGCTACATGTTTAAGGGTCAGTTTATGTTTGTATCGCTACATGTTTACAACCCAAAGAAGCAATTGAGAACAACATTCCTGAGAGGTTAGTTGATTGAGGAGAAATTGTATTTTAGACTAAGAGGTGTTATACCTGGATTAGGATTTTGCTTTTCTAGGGAACCAACCTTTTTTACGCTATGGTCATTGAAGAGCTATACAGATGGAGGAGTGAAAAAGAAGATGCTTCCAGTATTTTATTGTGGTATTGTGGTTTCTTACAAAAACCAATTCAGAAATGTGGCTTTGGACTTTGTTTTCGACATTACATTTTAGGGTAAAAGTTGGAAACTGATGAAGTCTCAAGATAGTTAAAAAGTGAAACTAATGAGTGAAGTGCTGAAAATGTAGAGTTGGGAGTCATTTTCAGAGTACTAAGGTTTCTCCAGAGTGTTGTTGGAGAGCAAATTGCTGAAAAATGGGTATTTTTACTTGGAGGAAGGAAAATCTGTTGAAGTTAGTAAAGGTAGAGTAAGAACAGAGAATGGGTGAGACTCTCCCTAAAATAGATGTTTTAAAAGTGAGTAAGAATTGAAGTTGAAAAGGACTTGAAACATGGCCACCAGTCAGTCATAGAGCATATGATTCTTCATTTTGGAAACAACTAACAAACTTTTTGTAGAGGATATATGTCCCTAAGTTCAGAAGAATATATAGGGTTTCACTGTTAAGGGACTTGTACATAAAAGAATAGATTTGTTTCACCCAGTTCATGTTTTAAAAGTGTGCTCTGCATTATTATCCTACGTTTGGTCGTTTAACATGATGAGGTGAGGCTAAAAATAGCTGGCAGAGAAGGCTGCTTCCCCTGCTTGCAGTTGGTGTGTGTCTTTGTGTCTCATACAATGGAGGGGATATCCCTGTGTTGGCACAGCAGTGCTGAAAATGCCCTTAAAAAAAAAAAAACAAAAAACTTTTTAATTAAAAAACAAAAAATTCCCCCAAAACAACTTGGCACTTCAAAAAATTCAGAAATCTCTGAAGCATGAGACACTGGAAGACTGGTTTTTGTTTTGTTTTGTGTTGTTTGGGGTGAAACCTGCAGCGTTTTGTGTTAACTCTAACAAGGATTAAGAGTTGTGAGGTAGACAGTATATAAATCCATACTTTTTTATGTTCCTTGATTTGAATCCTCTGTTTTCCTAGTAGCTTTTCTGGCCTCTTAAGAGTGAAAATTCAAATGGCAGAACGCTCTGGGGAAGACATATTTAAACAGGGAAGTAGATCCAAGGTGATTTTAGAATGAAGCTACAGGAATGTATCCCATATGGGTGCCTTCTCTCTTGTCTCTTTTTTTAAAGGTATTATTGATATACACTCTTACGAAGGTTTCACATGAAAAAACAATATAGTTACTACATTAACCCATATTATCAAGACCCCCCCATACCCCATTGCAGTCACTGTCCATCAGAGAGTAATAAGATGCCACAGATTCACTATTTGCCTTCTCTGTGCTACACTGTCATCCCCGTGACCCCTCACACCAAGTGTACTAAACATAATACTCCTCAATCCCCTTCTCCCTCCCTACCCACCCATCCTCCCACATCCCTCCCCTTTGGTAGGGTGCCTTCTCTTTTTACCTTCTATTTTCAACAACATTTTTTATGCAAGTAAAACCATGTTTAGATGAACTTAAAGGGCTGTCTTTCCAGGTTAATGTGATTACTAGTAAAAATAGCGGCAAAGGGGGACTCTGGCCCTAGGGAGTGATAAGCTCATGTGCTTTGCCTTGAACAACTTTGGGATTGATAGGGATGATTAAAGGGTCTTGAAAGGTGTGCATTTGTATTTGTGTGTTTTAGCACTAGATGACCCCAAAGCCATATCTAGGCTAGTAGCAGCCCAATTCTTGTACTTCAGAGTTGGTTCTTGGAGAAGTCTTGTGTTGCCTCTGACAGGTTATGTAGAAGAGGGGTTGGCAAACTTTTTTTTGGGTAAAGGGCCAGCTAATAAATATTTTAGATTTTGTGCTCCACATGGTCTCTGTCGCAGTGATTCAATTCTGCTCTTGTAGTATGCAAGCATCCATAATATGTAAGCAAATGATTGTGACTGTGTTCTAAAAAACCTTATACATAAAAGCTGAAGGTAGTTTGAGTTTGTTGGCTGGTAGTTTATGGACCCCTGGTATAGACAGCTGGCAAGTCCACCAACATACAGTGTGAACTTCCTTCCACTACAAAGCTGAGACTGGCTACGTTTGGTGGTCTCTGTTTTCTAAAAGATGTGTTAAATCTTTTTTGGGGGCTGTCTTAAAGTGATTATGCATAAAGCATAGAGTCTACTGTTGAGGATGTTTACCTCTACAGTGGTGAAAATTAAACTAAGGAACAGGGACAATGTCATTTATAAAGGAATGCGACCAAAAATTAGAGACTACTTACATTTCTTATTCAAAGATAAGTTTTAGTGATGGACATAGTGATATATGGGCTGTATATCATGGTCAAAAATATCTTTAAATAAACTTATGGGTATAACTTTGAAAGGTTCTGAAAATAAATTGTAAAACATTAACTGTAGATGTAAAATTAGAAGTGTTTACAGTTGGTTTGAATCAGATGAAAATATTAGTCAAATTGTAAGAACATAAAGATTTGATACTTTGTCTCTTAAAGTCTTAGTCTTTTGCATTGACCAATTCAGTGTATAGAATTATTCGTGCCCCAAGTTTTGTTTTAAGTTGAAGTGTTATATCTTAACAAATAACTTAAATCATTTAATGTACTTTAAAATGCTTGCTGTATTCTTAATGATAAGTGGAGCATGGATTAAGTTATTTTTTAGTTGAATCTATCCCAGATGAGTTGTTTAGAAAGGATAATTCACTATTTGCAATTTTACATTATTTCAGATATATATATATAGCTAATATCAAAACATTTGTTTCATATGCAAACAAATATCTGCATTAGATGATGGTATGTTTTTATTCTGGTTTCACAAATCTTATTTATCTCAGGATTCCTCTATTTATGGCAAGATAGGGGGTTACTTTTGCAATAGTGATAATTTTTTAGTTAGTTTCAAACCAGCTTTTACTTTAATAGTATTTCTGTACATATAATTGGTACTTCAATTTCCCACCCCCCCCTTTTTTAAAGACTAGATAATCTGATAATTTTAGTATGGCTATTAAAAGGTCCTTGTAAAGTTGCTTTCCTGTTCATCAGGAGAAGATTCTTTCCTTGTTTTTTTAAAGTCTTCTGTTTAATTTTTGCCTTTTCAAGAAATTTTATCATTGTCTCAAGTTTAAGTATATGTGGTGATTT